CTGAGCTAGAGTGCTTTTCAAGAGAAATAAAGAGAAATTTTGTGGTCTGTGTTCAGCTGGAGATCCTAGATGACCTTAACAGTCATGTCTGACCTTTAAATCTGAGACAGTCCTGAAGAGATGATTTGCCTGTTTCCAATCTACATTGAGTGAGTGAGAAAGTAACATTTCCAACTGAACTTAATTTTTATGACACCCTGTGTTTACTTTAGAGGTAAAAATTTACTGTCTGGTCTTGCACTAGTAAAATATTTGGATGGCCTTGAGAGCACTGTAACAACAAACAGAGCATTCACAATTCCCCTGATGGGCCCATTTTACTAATAGCACACATTTGGTGAAAATAACCTCTGATGTACTAGCAAGATTCCAGCTGACAACATTAGTGCACCTGCAGGTTTTAATTGGTGCAAAAAAGGGGAGAATATGAGGTACCAATTACTCTCTTGAAGCCTGAGAATCAAGGACATTTTTGGCAAGGAGGCTTGTAATTCCACCATAAAATTGCGCACAGCATGGAATAAACAGGCCCTGCATTATTTATCATGCATTAGACAATTTTTGACTTGTAAAACTCTGAGAAGGCTGAAGGAGAGAGGTGAATCTTTAACACTGGACCTACTGCAAAGTTAATTAAAAGTAAGATGTCCATGTTGCAGATTTAAGGATGTACAGGCACTGGTGAAACATTGTAATTAAATACCAGCTCCCAATCCAGGGAGTAATCTAACTATGGCAATAATTGGGTGGTTAAAAAAAAATATGCATTGATGAGAAGATGATTATTACATGCTGGAGAATTTCACTAGTAATTCTAATCTTCTAAAATGAGCTGCACAAAATTCAGCTAATCTTTAACTTAAATTTCCCAGCAAGAGAAGAACAGTCGGTTGGTGGGTTGGAGCCAAATGCAGATGACATTTCTTGCTTTATTCTAATAAATAGCTTTCAAAAAAAAGCTGTGAATGACATCACAGAGACTCTTAAGAACTTAATAGTTTCAGAATGTAATTTGTAGATACTGAGAGTATCTGACCATCTTGTTGAGGAAAAAAAGGCTCACACTGGTAAGTTCTTTTTGTTAACATTTGTCATAAATGCAATGAATGCCAAGATTTTCTGTCTCTGGGAATGAGGTGAGACTTTTCAATGAGAACTCCAGTTCCTCACATAGAAGAAGTTTGTATGAAGCTTCAAAATGGAGGGAACAGCAGGACCTCTGGCATTTGCATTTTTGAACAAACTTTGTACATTGCACCCATCGCTGTTTCCTACTTGCGTGTGCGATGGGAACCAGCAGGGCTGGGAGCTTGCCAGCAGTTCAGTAGCCTGTGGTTGGCTTTGGTAAAACGTTACTGCAAGGCTTTTTACCAGATCTTTGGGCCATGTTTCACCCTTAGGAGTGTAGCACCTGGCTTCTACTGTATGATGTAAACGAGCCTATTAGTGAGAGGAAAGTTTAGGAAAACAAAATGGGAGGGGGGTAGGTACCTGACATTTAATGTAAAGGCTGAAGTGCGCTTGTCTTAGCGTATACTCATTATCCTCCTTCCTGTAGCCTGCTGTACTGTATGTGTTCCCCTCTGGTTGTGAGGGCCCCACTGAGCCAGCATGGGTACGGTCATCCTGGATGTTTCTTTTCAGCAATGGTGATGTTGTCTGGGCTTAAGCTGGAGGAAGGCAGATAGGGCCTCCATCTCTTCATCCCTTCTGACGTTTCTATGAAAGAACGGCATGTACCAACTGCTCTTGTGGATTGAGTGCTTGATTTCCTCAAAGGATGCATTCAGCTTGCTAGTGAGACAGGAGTGTCACTGCTTTCAGGTCGTAGGAACAAGAAGGTTCTGGGCTGGCTGAATGAGCGTTGGGCAGGCTTCTGCCTTCAGCCCCTGCTGAGTAAGTGGCCTCTGCAGCTCTGGAATTCAAGCATAGTACCTGAATCTTCAAAATTGACACAAAACGGAACTGCATATAAAAGGTACTTCTGTGTTGGTGGCCATCCTTCCTGCTGTGGTAAGAGATCAAACGTGTAACGTAGGCAAATTGTTCAGCCTGAGCAACTTCAGGGCCAAGTTTTAACAGCAGCGTTATGCATTGTGAAACTTTTCATCTGTGCTGCAGCTGACTTAAAAGCAGTGAAAGTTGCCTTTGTGTTTCATTCAGAGCCCAAAAGTGCCACACTAGTGGGGTTCCTGAGGTATCACAGGTACCTCCATCTTGCAACTCCTGAAGCAGCGGGTGTGTGAGGTTAAGTATCAAGCTGCTTAGGTCTTTCAGGAATTGAAGTATGGCTTAAAGCCTTCACGTATCTGTAGGCGCTGGTGCTGAGAGTAGCCTTGCTATGGACTTGGGTGCCTTTTGGTGCTATGGAGAGCTGTTCTGAGCAGCTTACTGTTGAAATTAGGCCTTGCGTGAAGGTTAGGGACCTATTGGCTTTGTGCACATCAGTGTCTTAACTACATCTTCTGTCATGCACAGTGTAATAGAGTCTGTCTCTACCTCATGCAAACATGGGGGAGGTCTGAGATGTGTGTAATCAATACAACCTCATACCGAGTTCCAGGTTTTATTTCTAACCATCGTGTCTGATTATTCTGTAGGATTGGCTCATATTTAATAATACTGCATATAGCAGTAGTCTTCTTAATAATGGCAGAATATCTCCAAAATTATGGAGAAATGTAACATGGGAGAGTTTGTGCTGTCATTTTCCATTTATTTTTTTATCTTTGTTACTGTTGTTCATGGTTATTATTGGTTTTTTTTCAACCCACTCTGCTACAGTAACAGCCTTAAGGCAAAATAAAAGCTCTGTAAGATGCAGCTACAAAAAGGAACTAATTTTTGAATCTTACCTTGACTCCTGCTCTGCCCTGCTTGTGCACTGTGCCTCAATTAAGTAACTCCTAACTTGGACCTTGTGTGGCAGGAGGCTGGGCTTCATGGTACACTGCTGTCCCCAAGGAGTTACGGCTTGAGCGAAGTCAGGAGCTGTGAGGCAGCTGCATTATCTTAGGGTGCAGGACCAGAGGCCGTGGAGATGGTAGAGCCTCTTACAGAAGATGTGGTGCTGGGGGGAAGGTGGTGTTGCTGGGCCTTGCTCTGTGCTAAGCAGATACAGCAGCTTGCTACTGGAAGGATTTGTGCAGCTGTTTCCCAGTCTGGTTTAGCATGCTTGAGTTGGATACATAGAATAATTCAGGTTGATTGGGACTACTGGAGTTACTTATTTTGGATGGAAATTAATTCAAACTTACTTAAAGATGTGCAAATGGGAGCCCTAAGTGAGGCTAATTGAATATGGGAAAGTTTTTAGTGCTTTCCACAGCTGCCTGTTTGCCCTGCCTCCATATAAGGCAGGGTTTAGGAAGACAAAGCACTGATGGTTTATCTAGTAGGCTGCCATGCAAAAGGTCCCAAGGCAGAAATGGGGCTGGTGGCTGTTAGACCCCTCCACCTACCTGTGTAACCTCCATCCTTCATTTGCAAGGAAGCACTTTGTGAGCAGGGTGGTGGGAGGAGAGGTATGATCTGCCAGAAATAGTCAGAAGGGAGTAGCTGAACTAAATTTCCTCTTCCACATCATACCTGGATGCTGGAGGAGACATGAGTAGGGCCTAAACTGCACTGATGACCATGTCTGAGGGGGCTGTATGGAATACTCTGCTTCTGCCCTTGTGAACATGAGCAGAATTTTGCCTAGGTTGTGCTGAGCTTTATAAATAATCAATTCATCAAGATCTGAAGTGAAAGAAAACAGATTTCTCGATTTCGCAAGGCAGAAAGCAAACAAAACCAATTCAAAATAAAAACGCAAAAACTGCTGCCACACAAAACATACTTGGATCATTTTATTTTCACTAGGTGTTATTTAGTTCTACTACTAAAGATAATCTTAAGTGTGGCACAGTAGGAAGCTCAGAATGCAACTGTGTACTGCCTAACAGTAATGAGACTTACTTAGCTACAGCATCTCTTGTTAAATCTTTCTTGTTAATTGGGACAAGACAGCCTGGCTGCACATCATTGTGTTGAGAATTAGAAACAATCTATGGTAGTTACAGTAAAGAGGAACAGCAAGACACTGATAGCTACAATTTTTTTAATTAAAAAAAAAAAATAAATGAGAACACGCACGTGTGTGTTTAGATACTATAGTAGAGGAAGGATTTGTTGTAGCCTTTTGGCTTCCAAAGTAGTCATGCATTCCTGTAAACCAGTGTTTCTCAAACTTTGTGAAAGCATGGCCTCACTTTTTGCATCATCTATCTCTATGCAACTATTAAATTGGCAGCAGCTCAGTTTCTCTGGGGGAGGGAAATCAGAATGCTCTGTAATTACTGGCTACAAGTGTTTATGGACGCTAAGCTGTGTCCAGCAATTAAAGGCATTTAGCTGTTCCCTTCCTAATACAAACACTTCCAGACAACAATTACAGCCTGCTTTGCACTTTCCTGGCCTTGAGGCGGATTCCCCTGGGCCCTTTTGCAACTCCCAAGGGGGCTGTTGCCTGGAATTTGAGAAACACTGCTGTAAACCAAACAGGAGCACGAGATAATGCCTAAGAGCAGCTGTTTTTGCAGAGCTGCTTTCTTTGCAAACAAGGTGCACCATATGCTTTGGAGGCTTTCCACGCCCTGGATACTTTCTTTTCTCACACTTGACTTTTGTTAATCTGTGTAGCATGGCTTGTTCGCACAGTATTTCAATATGGCTGCATGCAGTATATCAATCTGTGATGCTATGTTGCTATTCAGAATTACCACCTGCATAACATGTTAAAGGAAAAAAAAGATACTTGCTGTTGGGAAAAAAAAAAATCAGATTTAGCTCTAATGTGACAGTACATGTTTTACTGTCCTATTTATTCCTTGCTTCTGTTCAAAGTTGCCTTTTGCTGTATGTTATATATCAAATGCCAGTTAGTTTGCATGCGATCAGCAGTTTAATTAGGGCAGGAAAGAGATGTCTTGTGTGCTTTTCACTGAGTTGTATTAATATTTCCCACTGTATTCATTTGTGATTCCAACTGTTCCAGGGGAAGGATCGTTAAACAGGTTGTATTCATTGTTCTAGGATTTACAAGAACCTGAGATGAACTGGCACTGTGTGTTTTTTAGGACATCTTCCAACCTTACCCATGCCAAGGCCTTTAGCTGACGAATATGTGCCCCGTAGTATTCTTGTGTAGAAGTTAGAAAAATAAACATTTGGAGGTTGCTTGTTACATTTGAAAGAACTAAAACCTATGTGCAGCTCCCTGACCTAACTGTCTTTATTTAATTCTAAGAAGCACGTGGCCCTTGTGCTAGGAATACTCCTTACTGCTCATCAGAGAGGCTTTGTTGAGAAGCCGTGTCTTCCAGGGCCATATCTTCTTGGCTGGCCCTTCTGCACTCCAGGTTCCGACTCATTAATATGGCATGGGCTGGACCTGCCTCATGCCGCAGTCTAGGTTCTGTAGCACTGGTTGCTTCGCAGGTCTCAGTGACTTGCTGGAAAGAAACAAAGAAAGAAAGAAAAAAAAGAGTCAACTAGTTTAGGAAATTTTTAAGTAACACTTCAGCTATTTTGTGAAGTGACAGGTGAAAAAAGTTAAAAATTGATTTAGGAATGTCATTTTGTGAAACTGCATGGGATTCTGAACATGCATTATTCACAAGGGACTTCTGAAGAGGTACTTCTCACACTTTGTGTAACGCATAAATTTCGAAGGAAAAGCAGACCAGGAGCTAGAGGTTTAGTACCACAGATGTACATGTATAGAGACCTGTAAAATAATTTGGATTGAAAAGGACTTCTGGAGGTCATCCAGTCTAAACTGCTGCTCCAAGCAGGGCTGACCCCTAAGAAGTTAAAACCGGGTTGCTCTGGGGCTTGCTTTATACACCAAATTTTAAATCCAACTTACAAAGAAACCTTTTCATCAAAACTGGAATGCAATTATCAGTCTGAAAATGTTATGTGCAGTGTCACCCCACTGTAAGGAGTCCATTAGTATAAAAGCTTTCCAGAACTAACTATGCTGTGTTAATGTTTAAATAAAACACTTCCTTCTTACCACTCTCCATCGAATAGGCACCTGGACTCTGAGCAGTTACTTTTGGCCAGGACTCACCCCATCTACATTTAACCATGTAGTCTTAATGTATCGTCCAGGCTTTCAATGCCTGGGAGGGAGATACGAGTGTCCCAGGGGAAGATTTCTTCCTGACACTAAGGATGAAGTGGACCGTCCTCTCCACTCAATACAGAGGCCACACCAACAGCCTACTGATGCTTCACGCCCAAAGTTTGGATGGCTTAAAGTTAGACAAGGTGAATCCTACCATTAGTACTCAGTATTGCAGACTGGCTGAGTTCGTGCAAATTGGGCTATAAACTCTTGAGAGTTGGAATTATGCCTTGTCATCTGATATGTTCAGCTGTACATGTAGAAATATTATTAATGGTCATTAGATTAATAAAGCAGGATTGGACCCAGATGAGTAAATGTTCATTCAACTTCTGTTGAAGTTCATGGCAAAACTCCAGGGAACTATACCATGCATGGTATTTTCAGGTTGAGAGCAAAATACACACAAGCTAAGGAGCTTTTTTCACTTGAGGTTTGGAGAATTCTTTTAAAATTAGGGAAGTTACACACACTTCAGAATGATAGTAGCAGAAGAGTGTTTTGGACTTTCCATAGCCACAGTCTTCCCCTGTTGCCAATTTGGTTTCCATTTTGATAGGCCAAATATGAAAGTCTGTCTTAATTATGTTGTCACTCAACCTCAAGTTGCAGTCACCCTTTATCTCTAGTCCATCTTCTCATGTTACTGCTCTGTAGTGCTGAGGTGAAAGTTTCAAAATTCAGGAGAGCAATTGATGGCAACCAAAGTTACATAAATATACTTAAGTAGACAATAAAACAATAACACTACTATGTGCATTGAATTTTCCAGGGAAGATGGGAGTCTAACTGGGAAGAGGACTGGAAGTTCTTTGTGTGTACTGTTTTGCTGTTAGAAAATGCTGAATCACAGGGCATGCAGGTTTCCTTTGGGAAATGCTTCCTACAGACTTCCTTTGACTAACCCTTTCAGGAACAAGGTTTTCAGGTCCTGGATTGAATTTCTGGTCTGTCAGAGAAGGGGACAGAACAAGCGCACTGTTCAGTGGGAACTGGTCCTCTTTGTACAAATAATGAAGTCCTGCATAAGTGAACAAGGAAGGAGCTATTTAGTTTGCTTATGATGGTACTCATGGCCTGGGCTGCAGAAAACAGAGACCTAAGTCCCTGGTCTGAGTGAAAGGGATTTTGCCCCAGTTTGCAATTTCAGGTGTGTGCTTAACAGCTGACCTGTCAGTTACTTACAAACACGTCACTCTCATATACACACTAAATTAAACAACAGTCTCATTTTCATTGTGATGCAGCAAAATCCAAACCAAATACCAAAAGACTGTTTTCTGACCAGTGAGAAGGAAGAAACCAAATGGTAGTGAGGACAGGTCAAGAACCTGATAGGAGAGCAGTGCAGTAGTTCACACTTAGTACTGTTATTTTGGGTTCAGCCTTACCCGAGTTGCTTGACTTGCTGCTCGAGCTGATGGACCCATGGCAATATTCATACTGCTGGATGACTGGGTGTCACTGGTGTTACCTCCGTCTGCAGCTGAGAGCCCAGAAATCACCAAAGCACTTGAAAAACTTCTCTTGCCGAAGAGCAGGCTGAGAGTTGAGCTGGTAGAAGAGGCCAGACTGGACCGGAGCATTGCTGCGGCTCGGTCCTGCACAGTCAGCTGGCCAGCAACAGGAACGGCAGGGGACTGGGAAAACACAGATGTTGCCGAGTTGTGGAATGACAGCTGACTGCTAGAAAGCCTTTGGGCAATTTCATGGGCAGATGTAGATGTTTGGATGAAAGGCTGGCGGCTTTCTACAATTGGTCCAGAGAGACTTGAAGCAGGGGGCCTTTGGTTTAAAGCAGTGTGTGCCTGGACGGACTGACTCCTGGTTTTTCTCCTGCCTTTAAAAGGAAGATTAATATAGTTAAGTAAGTGGCATCCTGATGAACTCCATGCTATTGACAGTGTCCCATGTGTACATATTACTATTGGCATACTATTACTGGTTTTATCAGCATAAGAATCCCAAGACTAACAGAAATAACAAATGGCTAATCCTGTGAGCCTTTCTGTGTTTTCCACTGCAAGAGTTCTGGCTTTTGGTCAGAATAGCTCCAGTGGTTCTGCACTGAGTCAAAAGAGAGGAAAATGAGAAGACACCCCAAGGAAAGTACGCTAATCACAGGCTCACACCTATTCTGCCACACACATTTTAACCTGCCCAGTGAATTACTGAGCAGAGTGTTGCTGTAACTCCTTTCCCCTGTGACAAACACACTAAAGCAGGGGATGTTGAATATCCACCTTAAATGGCTTGGTATAATTAAATACAAAAATAAACCCAAACCCTGTGAGCTAAAACAATGGCACAGTGAAAAGAATTATTCCTGCTTAGAGGGAAATCAACCAAGTAGAAGACTAGAGCATTCAAAGCCACAAGACAGTTTTTAAGACTAATATTAAACTATATCGGAGTTCCAAGAGTGATATATTTACAGTATATCACAGGCTGAAGAGATGTGAACACCTCTAGGTAGGGTGGTCTGTTGGAGGTCTGAATGAGACCCACATAAGACTCGTGCCCCATTCTGTGAAGCTTCTTGATGCAGCTACTGTTGGCTACAGGGAGTAGGTTAGCTAAGCTACTCTGATGTGCCTAGACAACTTCTGTCTTCCTGTACATATATGCCCCACCTGTAACATTTATATCAACACCTTATGTCATTCAAACAAATAATTTCTGTATTTCTTATGCTTGCATATTTAAATAGACATAGAATGAAAAATAAATCAAGTCATGGGCCAGTGAACCCACCAGACGCTTGCCCCCAGGCACTCTGCAAATGGCACGCAGCGGGCTAGCATGTGCCACAGGCCCCAGAACGGTTTACTGTTCCTGCAGACAGGCTCTAACCCCGGCTTACGCAGCAAATACCCAGTCACGCGAGTGCCTGCTTGGCTTTTTTTTGCTTTCCAGGAAACTCCAAACACTAATGCAAACTGGCATTTTGGTTTTCTAGCTATAGCTGTGGGGTAGTGAGTTGATGCTAGAAAATCTGTTGAGAGCCATCAACACAGAAACAGGTTTTGCTGGCAGGCATTTCCAGGTTGTTGGTTTTTTTTTTTTTTTGCTTTGTTTTTTCCCAATACCCGAACTATGGAGGGGAGGGAAGCACTGAAACTCCTCCATATACTGAAATTTTGCAGGCATAAAGGAATGTAAATCTCACACTATCTTCTAGAAACATGACTGTTTGCTGAATTTGTGAGGGTTCCAATAATGCAGAATTTTGTATCCCAACTATTTACATTATATAGTTTTACATCCACAGACCTGCTTTTCAGAGGCTAGGATCATTAGCTTTTCAGAGGCTGGGATCATTAGCCCCCTTTTTCAGATGCTGAAGCAAAGAGATTTTAGGTAACTTGGCACAGAGTCAGATGGCAGTACTGGGCCATGACCTAACTGGAGCTCTTTAGCTGCACTGAAACCTAATTGGTTTGGCATGCACTGGACCCTTTCGCACCCCGCTTACAACATATCTTTAGTTCTGCTTTTATAATCCAAACAATTAAAAAAAAGTAATTTTCCTAAGATGGTGTGCAAGGCAGTATTCACTGTAGAGTAAGAGCCCCAAGATCTCTGCTTCAGAGCGATGGGACAGATGCAGGTGGCTGCTGCGTGCTGCTGTCCTCTGCACTTGAGACGTGATCGACGGGAGGGCACGTGCTGCAGTGGGGGTCAGGCCTGGCTGCCGCACCAGCAGCCGCACGCACGTCTGGCCTCCATGGGGATTTGGGTTCTTCAAACTCCAGGGTTTTGTTTAAGTGCTTGGCTTTCTACATCTGATGGTTATTTTAATATGTTGCCCTTTTTTAAATAAAAAGAACGGACTGGAATTAAGAACAGAGGGGCTGTGGTGTGTTAGGTTGTGCAGGGGCTAACGTGGCCAAACATCTGTTTGTGATTTAAACTGCCAAGCTGACCCCTGTCCAAAAGTATTTTACATTCATCCCAAATGCAGTAGTTAGAACATCGGACAGGAGACCACCCGCATCTACACGTAAATAACTCTGTCCTTGAAAACACTTAGGAAGGAAAGGCTGTTCTGTAAACTGCATCATGCAATAAGGACACTTTGGGGGAGAACCCCACGCGTTTCCAGTGCTCCCCATTCTGGTCACACTTTTATATAGGGCTTTCATTGCATTTTGCAGACTCAGTGGCACCAGGCTGCAAAATGAAATATGAAAACATTAAATGCACTTGATTCACAGATTATGAGTCTAGAAGGGATTGCTGTGATCATCTAGTCCGCTGTGCTATATAGCATGGGCCACAGAACTGCCTGAAATTAGTTCCTGTATGGTATTACTAATTACTATGATTATTTTTAAGAAATGCATCCAATATCTCCAGTCATGGAGAATCCATCTTAACCCTTAGTCACTTGTTTCACTGTTTGTTTACTCTCACTGTTAAAAACATGCACTTGATTTCAAATCTGAATTTGTTTAGCTTTGTCATCTCCGTGTCTGCTCAAATCAATTGTATGGTCACCTTTTGTTGCCCAGGTAAGTACTTACAGACTATGATCAAAGCATCTTTTACAATATAAATTGTTTGAAAGCTCTTAATCTTTCACTACAGGATGTATTTCCCAGATCTTTGATCATTTTTTGGCTCTTCTTTGAACTCCTTCCAAATTAAAAATGCCCTTCTTAAACGAGGGCACTAGGACTGTGCGTGGTAGGCCAACAGTGTCCTGAACTAAAGTCAGATTGACAGACGTGCATTACCCAGGTCACCCTATTCATTCTGGTTTATTAACAACAGGCATAGCGTAAGTTCTTTCCCAGTCCTCTGGTATTGCCTTAATGTTCCAATACTTACTGAAGATCAAGCAGAGCTTGCTTTTTAACTAGCTCTCTTAAAAACCTTCTTGAATGGGAGTCATTTGGATTTGCTCAATTAAGCATATAGCTTTGATAGCCACTCTTTCACGTTCTTTGTAGCTGTTAGGCTGGAAGGAACTACTTTGTGATCAGATCGTGGAAATAGATCATCTGCATTTTTCCCCAATACAAACTAGACATATTTCTTTTCTCATTTCTGCATTATTGGCAACTCTGCCTTTCTATATAGTGATGGATCGAGACCACTGTTAGGATTTCTTTTGCTTCTAATACTCCTTGAGAATAAACAGCCGCACACCCAGTTTCATCTTTTTGTCCCTAATGGTGCCAGCCAGAAACTTCTCCTTGTTCCATTCTCTTTCTCTTATCACTGGTCTCTCAGGACTGAACACTGATTTGCATTTGCTATTTTCCACTTCCTGGCATTTGTTGTGCATTTCTTCATTTCACCTCCAAGCCAGGTTGCTTTTCTGAACTAAGTGTGACCTTCTCTCTTGATTGTGGTTTTCTGGGCAGACAAATACGTTCTTTTAAACGCCTCACAATTAACTTGCATTCTTGTATGGCATGCTCAGGATCATTATTTCACAATTAAGTTTGCCATTCTGATTATTGCAGTGTCAAGTTATGAGTATGCACATGGGGATTCCTCTAACGCTAGACTCAATTAAAAGCAGCAGTTACTTTATTCTTACAACTTGATTTACATTCAGGGCAAGATTTTCTCCAGTCCTGTCCATTATCTTTAATGATAGGTCAAAATGATCTAACGGGAAGAAAACAAGTGTCATACCCCTCTAGTTCTCTGCTTTAATTTATACAGTGATACCACAACTTGTTGAAAGGTTGAGTTAATTGGCTTTACATTACAAGTCCTGATCCCACAGCGACAGGTCTCACAGTAACCCACTGCCATACTTAACGTATATTTCCAATGTGAAGGGCAGTAGTTCTACCTTGTGAATATGTCTGAAGTACTTTTGAATCCATAATTTGAGAAGGGCTCAGCTGTTAGTTGACAGAATGATTGGCAACAATTAATTTTCTCCTGGTAACTGCTGTATAGACATAAGAAGTTATTTCCTATTTGTTTGTTCTCCACATGCGCTGATGAACAGCCAAGCCAATTCCTCAAATAAATTGTCACGGTCCTTCAAGATAATTAAGATTTTTGCATACTTTCACTTCTGCTGTTCCCAGCCGACAATAAGCACAGATTCACTGTGGTACAGGCTCCCTGCATCGCACATGTAGATTCCCTCCCATCTGCATTTCTCATTCTGGCATTGTTAGTGGCACCTCCTAGCCCAAAAATTATGCATAAATGAGTCTGTCGGTGGAACCTTTGGTGAATCACATTTGTCTTACACCCTCCCAGTAAATACCTGTAACAATATCAGGAAGCCGTCTCCTACCTGTGCTTGGTCATTAGGAAAGACAAAGCTCGCTCTCTCTAAAATGAGTTCTCCACTGGATATGAACATACTCCAAAAGCATCTGCCTACGCGGCCCCCTCAGGAGAAGACTACAGAAAAAGCCAAGTAAACTCTGCAAATACCTGCACGCTGGTGGACCTCTTGAGACGAAGCTTGCAACTGAGGGGTTCCATCTCTGGTGGGCTGCGAGCTACTGCTCTGGCTTGAACTGCCTGTGGAATTGCTGCCAGACGAAGATCCCCCTCCACTATCCACCTCTTCAACGTTACCTCGCTCATGGTGAGCTGCATGGCAGTCCTTCCGCATTCTGTTTGCAGGAACACACACATAGCAGCCATTATGTATGAAAATTTGTGCCACCAATATTAGCTGCCCTCAAAATGTGTAATTGTACTCTCTCATTCCACTGCAGGTTTTTTGACATTTTATGAGGTGACAAAGATGATGATGTGTGTTCAAGGCCAGGCTGGATGGGGCTTTGGGCAACGTGGTCTAGTGGAGGGTGTCCCTGCCCATGGCAGGGGGGTTGGAACTAGATGATCTTTAAGGTCCCTTCCAACCCAAACCATTCTGTGATTCTATGTGGTAAGCTTACTTGGAACAAAATTGTATACGACACAAACCAAATCTTCCCTTGTCTGTGTTAAGTGGCTTTGGAGCCCTGCAAGACCTTAGGGCACTATCTAACATTACAGTGGTCTCTAAAGATCTACGTTTGCATGAGGTAAACAAGTAGCAAAGAGGAGGAATGGGCTGGAGGGAGCTCAGTGGCAATGAGCTGCATGGTGGGAAACCAGAGTATTAAGCCACTAGATATAACCTTGGCATTTTAGCATAGGTCTTAGTGTGCAAGCTGGCTCCCATAGTCTCTCCATGGTCCCCTGCCTCTCCTCAGCCACAGCGGCGACAGGGCAGGTGGAGGGAATGAGACAAGAGCGAGTTACTGCTGTATGAAAAGTGCATGTAGGAATGACAGCTGGAATGTGTCAGATACTGATCATGCATACCGAGGGGAAGGCAGGCAGTTCTGGTGGATAAACACATTTTTAGATGTGTTTTGGTCAAGAACAATGACTTGGGGACGATCATCTATACTGCCAAAGCTTTGGAGCATAACCCACCAACACATTTACTCATCTTCTGACATGTCACTGAGTTACAGAAAAGATCCCTTGTTTACAAGGCATAAACAGTAACATTCCCTGGAATAAGGGAAATGTCTGTGGTGCTAAGTGATTTGATAATGCATCTTGTTGAACATGTAGAGAGCTTTGCTAAAAGCCATGAATGAGTTAATGAATCTGCCTTCTGCTATATCTGTAGGGCTATTTTGTTATATTTTGAGTTACTTGCAATTAATTTTTTACTCGAAGATAACAGTACAAAATTACTCTCTTTTAACAGAAAATACAGCGAAACCAGGACTGCAGGGTCTTTATCTGCATAGGCAAAATTTAACACCTACCTTAACCATTTGGATCTGAACCACTTTTTAATGTTGTCCAAACTGACAGGTCCCCCCCAAATGTTCCTCAGCTGGCTGTGTGTCCCAAGGTACGAAGTGGTTAAAGGGGAAACGTACATTGGATATCCCAGTGGCTGATCACATGAAGAATTAATTAAGTTCCGCAAGACCTGTTTATTGTTCTGGATGCTTCCTCTCTCTGGGTTACGATTGCGTAAGAAAATCAGTTCCTGCTGCTGCCCAGCCCAAAGCCCTCTGACGCACTCCTTGTTGACCTACAGGTAGGTTAAAAACATGTGGATCCTGTGAAAACGTTTGCTACTTAAGATGCAGAACTATGCAATCTAGGTGGAACAGCAGTAGCTGTGTGTGCAAACGCCTCATGTCTTTGCACCAACAGGTTTTATGAACTTTTGCAGCTACTCCCTGGTAAAGCCTGGAATGTTATTTCAGATACACAAACACAGGGGTGCAAAATGGACGTCGACTGAGGAGACCTCTTCTAGTCTCCACTCCCTACTCCGGTAACTACAATTGACCTCTCCTTTTGGCCAGGTTACTCAGAAATACTACTAGTTACCACAGCCCTAAATTACTGCAATATTAGAAAGATGGTATATGTACCTTGATAACCTTGAAGCTCAAGTAGCTTTTGTGGAGCATGATAACTTTGTATTCATCTGCTCCTTCATCTACCACATGTCTCAGGGTCAGCAGCTCCTCTCTGTTGGAGAGTACAGCGCTGCGCCAGGCTGGGTCCCCTTCGTGACAAATCACAACCTTTTCTTCAAACGATTGGATCGCTTCGTACAAAACCGCTGGGTCTTCATACTCATCTGGGCAGGTGAACTGGTCCTAGTAGTACAGGAAAAAGTATTGAAGAGGTCAGGGATATTGGTCAAAACACAAAAACTAGTAACAATAAACAAAATCCTGATTTTCAAACATTTGCCAGCTGACCCCCCGAGTGACTTGCCTTTTGATACAGCATGTCTTTGGGGAGGTAGAACAATTAATTTGACAGTAATATAGAAAGGTACAATTTCTGTTTTACTGTAACCTGTTCCAATTTCATGTCTCCACTGCAGAAAGACACTTGGAGGATGACATCTTATCCACTTTGGTTTTATAAAGTGGGAAGTCATGGGAGGCAGAGCTTTTGGGTAAGCCAGAGGGAGATTGGAATCATCTGGGGCATTCCATGGTTCTTGTGGAAATCCTTATTTTTATTCAAGAAAAACCACCAACAAAAGCACAGACTGGGAATCCATCAGCAGAGATCACAATATTGTGTTACTGCTTTAGCTGTCACACAGCAACACAGCCAGTGATAACATTCATAAAATTATTGTGTCAAATTCTCAGATACTAATTCACAGCAGTTACATTCCACTTCAGTTACATTCAGAGCAATTATAAACATCATGTATGATAAAAGCATACGATACTAAATCATAACGTGCCAGAGCAAGAACAAAGTCAACTCTGAGCTATATAGGGGTTGACCTGAAGAAATTGGAGCAACTTCAATGGAGGCGTGCCAGATTTTTACAACTGAAAACAGAATGGGGTCAGAAACAGCCTGACATAATCAAACAAACGGCTGTGACACTAACCCTTCAAACCACTCTCCTCTCAGCTGTGGCTTTGAACATATGGAAGCATTACATGTGTATTACCATTCACAAAAGGACTGATTAATTAGCAATTAATTTAGGCTAATCAATGTATTTTTTTTTCAATCTAGAAACCATCTTTATAGTATCCATGCACGTAAAACATGGCACAACTGTCAGTTTTGTTTTGATGAAAAATGCAGGGTCAAGCCCTGCAATATGAATGGTTTCAAATGGGCAGCTAGGGGGTACAGAAAAGAAAATCAAGTGAATGCAAAATAAATAAATGCCAAGCTTTTCCATTTCAGTTAAGGAAGTTTCTCAGAATAAGGCAACAAGTACTCCATTTCCCTCTTTTTTTTTTTTCTTTGAACAGTTTCTAAGGTTCCCTGTGTTTCCCTAAGAAAACAGATGCAGTAGTAAAAGTTAAAAATAAAAATTAATAAAAGACCCTACCTGGTGTAACTTCAGAGACATTCGGATTGCCGGGGCAACCACCTTATGCAATAGGTCCATGTCTGCAAAGACCCACTCATCTTTTGCCGCTATCCGAAAGTCTCCTTTGAACAGTGCGTGGAGCCCATAGAGAAAAGAGTCCAAGCTGTGAGAGGAAGGCAGCAGTCACTCCCAGAAGTCATTCCCATCTCGCCAAGCCAGACCCCTGCCAGCCCACAGCCACGTGCTGAGCCGCGCAGTGACCACTGGCCCTCCAGCACAGGGTGAGCTCCCGCCATGGGTATAAAGCAGGGGTCGCATCGCATATTTCTAATGAGGAACCATCCCTCGGAGGCCGGTGGTTTTCCTTCTGCTTGCACTGAAAACGACTGGCCACAAAACAAGCGTGGCATCTGGAAAAAAAGTACATCCTACGGACACATGCCTCAGGGTGCTGCTGCTCTGCGGCTGTGCCAAAGAGACCAGGTCAAAGAGTGCCAGCTGCTCTGCAATCCCTGTGCAGGCAGCAGAAGCTGCCCCCTCATTTGAAAGTTTATTGATTGGCCCTGTTACTCTTAGCAGTTCTCCTTGCAACGTAAAAATTAAAAAGAAAAAAAAAACAAACCAAAAAAACCCCCAAGAGCTGTAAAAAATATTTTCAGCAAATCTGAGACTTTTGTCATGAAACTCAAACCTAGATGTGAACATTAAACCAGATGTACTAAGATGAATACTCAGTTTCAGGAACCGTTCAGCAAACCGGATGAGAGCATGAATCAAACGACAGGCATTTCATACTGAAACAATGAGCCCAAAAGCAAATATGTGCTGGGATTCTTTTTTCTAATATAAGAAACTAGATGTAACTAGTTCTGCCTGACCTTGGACGATGGTTTACCTGGACCTGAGGTTTAAGCAAGAGGTACAAAATCGAGTAGTTGTTAGACAATGGTTGCACGGGGGCTTTGTGAAGGGAAACAACCAGCCTTCAGCTCGAAACTGCACCCCGAATCACGAGCTTCCCACAGTGACACCACAGCCACTTGTGTAAGGCTTAAATAGCAGGACTGCCATCCTAATGCTGCTCTGAAGAAGGGATTGAGAAATTGAGGAAAATAGAACCATCTGTTAAGAACAGGCATCTCTTGCAAACCCACAGGACATGGTTTCATCTACCTGCCAAGATTTTACTCACTCTTACAACAGTTGATTTTTTCAGATTGTAAAAGCTCTGAGGAGAAGCTGCATTAAGATGTTAGCAGTTTTCATTACCACCCAGGCTTTCTCCAGAGAACGCATCATCTTTCCATATAATTGAGCTTTCTTAATTATTTTAGGAAAAGAAAAAAAATACATTTTTTTTTCTCTTCTCTGAGAGAGGGAAAAGAGAGACTGGGAGAGTGCTTTGCCTATCTTCAGCTTAGACACATTTTAATTTTGCCCTTGGTGGGTAGCATGTTTTAGAAATTAAAATAGAAAGATAGAATTGTGGTTACCAGGAAAACAGCTGGATACCGATTTTCTCCGCGAAAGCACCGTGTAATACAAATCAACTAATCAGCGGGACCAAGGCCAGCCAGGAAGGCAGGGCTGCTGTCGCTGCTGGGAGCATGAAGAGTAAGGGGAACCTCTTGTGAATTCTTAACGGATTTGCATTTATTAGTACTAAAGTTACGTATTAAAACACGCCTGGGTGAGACAGGCACTTACACTCAGATCTTCAAAACATTAAAGCACTGATTTCAATGGGACTTATGTGTCTTCAAGGAGCGGGTCCTGATCCCCACTGACTTTCAATCAATCATCTCCACAGTTTAGAAAATGATGATATACCCAAATCCTCCTTAATAGCTAGGAAAGCCCTAGAATAAAACAGTTGGGGGGAAAAAAAAAAAAAAAAAAGGTGGGTGCACCCAGTGTGGTGAAAGATGTGACTATCATCACCTTTGAAAAGGCTAGAAATCAGGAAAGGTCCTTTCACTGGCCCACCCACTAGACAACATCCAGCATACACAGCTGAATCCTTGCCTGGAAAAAACACTTCTGTATCGAAATACTCCTCCCAGGATGAATCTGAAAAAAACCTACCCCGAACTCTGCACCTAATGATGATCTGTAGTATAGTTTTTTCCCATGTAACACCCCCTGTATTTGCTCTGAAAAGCTGGCCGGGACGAAGGGAGGAGTAGGCAGGAGAGAGAACTGGTTTTTACATCATTAGGGGCTCTCAGAGCCTAATCTGAACACCAGAGCAAAGAGTTTGCATTCACATCAAAGTGTCTTACAGGCATCAGCACATGCTAAACAGGCTGCTGTGAACAGCAGTACCTGCTGAAAGCAAGGCCAGGACTAGGACAGCTATGCAAACGGCACCTGAGCATCAGCAGAGGGAGCGGAGGGAAACGCATACAGCTCTCGCTGTGCTCAGTTAGTGAAGACCCATCCATTTCTCATCCCTCTGCATAATAAGTTCTCTAACCTGCATTTTTAAGAACAAATATGATGGCTACAATGAGCAAAGCTGTGGTGGCAGTAGTTGTGAGAGGCTGAGAGTCAATTATTTTATATATCGTATTTTCCACCAGAGAGGTCTGGAGGAGATTGCTGCATTCACAAAACCGTAGACGTCTTTTATTCTCCTGCCAATCGTAATGAGGCTTTTGGGTACATTCTGCCTATAATGTGACACTATCTCAAGCCATTACTTCTGTAACACGCAGCCCTTAATCCACATAAGAGACAGCTGTTGTTATTCTTCCCATTGTTATGCTCTCTCCTCAAGACTAATGAGATTATAAGGAAGCTGTAAAGCCAACAGCTTTGATCTCAGCCTAACTCAAAGTTGTTGCTGCTTTCTTGGCCCAGTTTTAGCGTGCCTCCATTAGTAATCTGCTGTAGTTACAGGCTCGTTCAAAATATTTTAAAAACTGGTTAAGGTGAATTCACATGGCAAAGAAATGACATTAATTAGAAAAAGACATAACTACTATTTCTGGCAACATTTCTAACCCTCTGAGCTAAGAACCCAAAACGCTGCTGTCACAACTGCGAGCTATTTTAGAACAAGACTAGTAGGTGTGTGGGAACCATCGGCCCCTCGAATGTGCAGAAAGGAGGGGATTAAGTAGCACCACAAATACCAGAGGGAGGGCAACAGAGCCAAAGCAAATACTCCCTCCTACTGCACGCCTTATGTTACTCCACAGCTGAAACTAAAAGCATTTGATGCAAGCCTGAAAACAGTACGGATGAAGACTACTGAGCTGGTGAAAATAATCTGTGTGTATTTTGCACACCCAAAACCCATCCTCTCTCTGCCGTTTATAGCCCATTCCCAATGTGAACTGTAGATTTATTTAAAGAATAAAGAAACATGCATGCCTGTGAGCTGGTAATGACCTAAATGTCATAGCTCACCTGAATGAAATATTTTCAATGGTAGCCCTTCTAAATTTGATATTTTAGATAACAGTGGTTGTAAGCTGAGCGTCAAACTTTTCTCCCCTCCTTCTGCTCCACCACAGAACTGTCTGCTTGAACTCCCACGAGCGATGCAGCATTGTGGCACCATGTCCTGTGCCCTCCATCTCCTTCCCCTCAGACACTGGGCAATGCAACGTGGTGCCCAGGAGGGAAGGGGCAAGTGGGGCCAGCTGCTTCCCTGGGCTTCAGCGTGAGCAGCTGTTCCTCCAGGCAGAGGCGTTCCTTGGAGCAACCCTTTGTCTACGCTGTGTGGTAACGCCCAGAGGGAGCTCAGGGGACCTCAGCATCCAGGCTTGGTAGTGTTGGAAGTATCCGATGAGAGATGCTTTATTAAGAGATTTGTATATTTTTCCAAATTTGAAACCTATACTGAACATGCATTTACTAGTAGGTCTAGTGACTGAATAGGATTATGAAGTAATTTTTTACAAATACACACCCAAACATATCACTCGTATTTGAATAAATGAATGGTAATGTCATGTCATTCTTCAAGTTGCATTTTGTGCAGGATGCCTCCTAATGACAGTTTAAAAGAGCAAGTGATTTGCATAGCAATGTTCTGCCTTCTTAATGAATGCATTTATTGTGTAATCTGGCGCTAATGTTGGGTTTCTGCTGACATTTACATGAACAGGTACACTGAATAATTATTTACATACATTATATAAGAGCATTTAAAATCTTGGTTTACACAGTGACATTTACTGATTAATAGATTAGATAAAATCATGTCTAAATGAGTACAAATTGATAGTTTACATACACAATGTAAACTTGAATCTCAATTCTGTAGTGCACAGCTCAGGGTAACACTACGTTTGCATTGCTGTTTCTGCACAGCAGCTGGATGACTGTCACTCCTCAAGACAGCAAGGGCTAGACTTAGTCCAGAGAAAGTTTCCTACTACCTGCACAGTTACCCCTAAGAACAGAACACGGACCACAGAGCAGACATCCTTGGCTACTTTGCTCACGTTGGACACTTCTGAAACACTTCACAGAAATAAGCGTGAGGAGGAGAAGACTACAATGCCTGTCTGGCCATTACATCTCAAACTCATAACGAAACCTCTAGCATTGTTGTACACAAGATGCTGCACTGCCAGAATTAATAGAAAGTCCTGAGATGAAGTTCAAGGACATTTCTCAGCGCTTATCAAAGTAATCTAAATAATCTCAGTTTCTGTAGTCCAGCACTCGAGTGTGACAGGGCACAGGTCAGGAGCCTTGATCTCTTCCAAAGTGAGCTGGGTCCCAACAGCCGTGCACGCAGTACATCCCCCTCGTGCACACAGCCAGCTGTGGGACTGCCTGTTCCGACACCATCTCTGCAGCAAACTAAACCTCTCTTCAGCAGCCAGTGGGCTCCAAAAGGTCCCCAAAATATCATGACACCTTTTCAAGGGAAAGGGCTGCAAAGCATCACCTAAGAAACGATTCCTCCAGCTTTTGAGGACCTCAAGTACTTCTCTCCCATTTGACTGACTGCAGACTTGCAACAGCCTGAGAACCGGGGGCAAGAACCAGCACTTCAGCTCGAAATTACCCTCCGCAAGAGCTGCTGTGTCTTCGTCAAACACAGAGAGAGGGCAGGGACACCTGCCTTCGGCGCCTAAAGTTAATCCTGGGGAACATCTCCTTCTGGCTCCAGCAGCGTTGCACGTGTTGGACAACGTGTCCTTCCCCCTGGCATGCCGTGTAATTGTATTCCTATTGGAGTCTCACTGACTGACTGCTGCTTTGTGTTTAAGTAAGTTGTGAAGATCTCTGTGAAGCAGTAAACCCACTAAATAGAGTAAAATCTGCCCTCTGTGCTGAAGTGAATGTATTTGGGGGGGTTTTGTTGATAAAGATCTTCATGTCAGGGGGCAGCGTACCCACCTTGTTCCTTAGTTAATAATTTCTACTATTTTTTTTGTCAATGAAAATAAATATATAATTTCTTTAAGACAAGAAGAAACGTATTTCACCAAGCTAAAGTCATGTTTTGTAGCTGCAGCAATTTATAACTTGAATTGTGCTACTCAAGATACCCCCCCTTTTTTTTTTTTCCAAAAAAACCCTCTTTCTGACAGTTGAAATGTATTAAAAGGTAATTTAACCAGGTGGGTAAGTGACACATTTTACAGAGAAACTTTTCTCAGGAAAGCTTTTGTGAAGTAGCACTGAAAAAGGTATTGACAGAAGCTTCCACTTAATTCCTTTTATGTCACAAAATACATTTAAAAAATACAATGATTCAATACTGCCCTGGGGTACTTTCTTACTAAAAAGAAAATCAAGACTTAAAGATACAGGATTATACAGAATAGATTCAGAAAAACAGGGATAGAGCTGTGCAGTGCATATGACTACTGCATTTTTTTCCCCTTCTGCAGACCTTTTCTCCCCAAGAAAAGTACTTTTGAGTATGGAACATCCACTCACCAAAAGAGAGAAACTACTCTGGTTCATTGGTAATTTTCCAGATTTTAAAAAGACATGGTATAGCTGACTCCTGCAATTATTATTAAAATCTTTATAGAAGACTTTGCAAATAATTATTCTCAACATTCATGCTTTCCATGTTAAGCTTTAGAAAGTCTCTGATAATATTATCTCTTTCCATTAGCTACTAACCGTGCAAGCCAATAAAAATAGGTGACATTGTTAATATATCTGCACTAGTGTGAAAACATTGTAATGAAGATTTCAAGATCCTGTGGAAAGTACATGCAATGTGATGACAGTTTTAGGAAGCTTTTGTGATATTTTTAGATGCATTTCTAATATTGCTGTGACATATCTACTGCAGCCCTAGATCAATTTCACTTTAATCTTGTCTCAAGAAAAAAAAAATTAAAAAAAAATCACAAATGCACATCAACTTTTCTGTCATGTCCCCAAACTCTAAAATTTGGATCATCAAAAAAATAGGGCCATTTTAGAAATACTGATGACTTACTAAACATCGCACTAATTTGAGCGCATAGAAATAAAGGGAGAGGAATCTCAGCCTGGAAGAAACCTACAGGAAGGGAATGTGCAAAGACTAGTAGAAAAGAGATGACAAAAGCCACTTTAGAGAGCAGAAAGCAGCAGCACACCAAGAAATAAGGTGTGCAGGCCATGAACATTTTGTGTGACTGAAAGAGGAAGACATAAAAACAGACATTACAAACAACAGATAACAAAGCTAGAATGAATATTTAAAGGACTGTTTTTTTCTTTTTTGAACAGAAAATGCGTTCAAAATCACACATGCTGTCTTTGTTTGCTTGTTAGTAAGACAAATCCTCTCCAAGGACCGTGTTGATAGAGAGCTAGCTAGCTTTAGTCACAGTTTTGTGCCAATACAGCAAGGTCACTGTAGGAGACTGCGTATTTACTAATGTTCTCTACTGTTACTAAATTCTTGTGAACACGGGGAGTTCAAATATATCTAATAAAAATCTAAAATTAGAAGAAAAGTTAGTCTTTAAGAAAGTAAATGTTTCATTAATAAAATGCCTTATCTATAAAATTAATTACTCAGGCTGAACACTTTGAACAGCATAAATGGCTAAAAGAAGACAAACAGGTCGTTGCTTTAAAATGAGGAAAAAGGATTCCTAAAAATTACCTGATGGCCATGTTGTGAGCCGCAGTTCCCAAAGCTCTTCGACCCAGTATACACAAGGCAAAGGAAAGCGTCACCAGAGGAGAATCCTCATCGCTGTCCAGGTGCTACAAGATTTTAAGAATTATTCCAGATTAAGTTTATTAAGATTATTAAGAGTTATTCCAGATGCAAACACCACCTTTACAAGCACTGCAATACTATAAATCGTAACGTTCATAAAATTTGCTTGTAGCTGGACCTACACACAACAACATTCCTTGCAATTAAACAGGAGAAGAAGGAAGATCGTTGCCATCAGAGGCTTTCTGCAAAGTGCAAGCTTACTGTGCCGACTGGCTAGAAACAGAACGTTTCAATCTCAGGTGGCAAGATCCCAAGGGAGGGGAGCTTTGGGGGGGGTGTGTGTGTGTGTGTGTTTGTTTGTTTTTCCAGATCTGACATTCTAAACAAGAGCAGATTCCTTATTGCTGAGACACACAGCAACTGGAGGCAGCCAAACCTGTTTTCATGCGACACAGTGCATATGAAACTCCCCCACAGATTCCAGAAGAACGAGCTATTTGGAAAAGTTTTGGGGAACACACTTTTAGTGAATAACAACACACACACACATATATATATATAAATATTGTATGCCATTGATGACACTGACCTCACGTTTTAACAAGCAGTCAAAACATTTCATTGACATTTACTAGCTCAGGAGAGTTTCTTTACTGAATTTTTTGCAAAGAAAACCTTGCTATCAAGCAGGAGGAAAAACTGAAACCCCTCATGAACGTGAATCTTCAGGAGGATACAGAGTTATTTCTGCCCATGCAATGGGTGGTTTCTTACAGCTTGCTTTGACCTAAAACTGAAGCCAGTTATAATGGAGAATGTAGCTCCTTGTACAAAATACACTGATTTTCAGGCCGATGTGTAAAGCAAAGCTTTTTTTACATCTCGTGTCCTACATGAGCTTTACCTCTATACAGTTAGTGAATTACAAAAACATAAGTAAAAGACAAAGATGTAAAAAATATACAAATGGGTGTGTGCGTACACACTACTGCAGGCACTCGTTTTCCCTTTTATGTCTAACTCTGAAAAGTTTCAAGTCTATTGGGCATCCCTAAATCTATTACTCTATTTGAAAGTCTCAGCCACATAACAAGTGAAAAAGCATCATTTAACAGTGCCTCTCCCTGCACCGTGCAATTCTTTGTGTGTCAGAGCTTGGGAGCTGAGACACAGAGATGGGAAAGAAAAAGAAATTAAATATTCCCAGTAGGAGGACATGGTGGGGAAGCTCAGAGGACAATGCAATGAAAACGGTATCAATGTAATGATATGCAGAGGAGCCGGTGGAATGGTATTCAGGGTCAGAACATGAGAAGGAACCGAAGTGGAGAAGAAACATTAAGATCCAGCGATGTTACGCCAGCTGAGGTCAGTGGTAGCAAATGGGATGAGCGCTCAGTGATCCTGAATGAAAAATGCACAAATAACAGTGCATGGTGGCCACGAAAGATACACTTCTCGTTTTTTGCCATTATCAGCAATAATCAGAAAATTAAATCCAGGGAATATACTGGAAAATAGAGTTTGAAACTCTATTCTCCCTCTGGGCTATTTTGAGTATTCCATGGAAATAGAGTAGTGCATTTCTGACAAATGATTCCTGACCATCAGTAATCTTAGTGGCTCAAAGCACGTGAATGTGTAGCTGTAAACCTGCCCTTGACCTTCTAGAGCTGCGAGGTAATCTCACACGGTTTTGTGGCATGGTTCACGTTTGAAGTCTGAGCTCTCAGAAGTGACCTATACCAGCATTGAGATTATTATGTACTTCCCCACCATTAGAAGACCGTATCCAAACACAGGCAATTGTTTGGAAAGGGTACACAAACATCACCAAGGTGTGGCAAACCTACCCAAACAGTGGTGACACTGAAGGAACGATGACATTCCCTGAACAGAGTCTGCTCCAGCATTACCTCTGCAAACAGTTATTATATCCATGCTTTTTAGACATGATGAAATTCACAGTGTTGGAAGTGCGCACAATAAGGAATTGGTTCTGTATTCAAAGACTAACCCTGCTTAAAACTCAGGTTTTGCACAAGAGTAGTCTCCAAAATACGTTTCTTCCATCTCACAAAACAAATATTTTCCTTTTATGTTAAATCTGACAGCTTAAATGAAATAAATGTTACTGTACTAATCCTGAGCAAGTAAAAGAGTAACCATGCATCATTTAACTCCTATCCCAAGAATTAAAACTACTAGTCCTAAAGAAAAACAAAGGAAGCAAGCTTACCTCTGTCCTTTTTCTAGCACAGAACTGAATCCAGTCCAGATAAACACTGCAGAAACTAGCTCTTGTTATTCCTTGGAGACACGGAACATAATCTTCGTCTATGTTAATGTTAAACATTGCAAGGTCACGTTCAATATAATGCCACTTTGCATAAGGCTGCAGTATCTTTTGGATGGATTCATCTTTTATCCAGTCAAGGATTTTGGGAGAACTTGCTGTGAAGTATATTATACTCTGTTGACAAAATGTGCAAACGTTAGTCACTATCTCTGATTAAAGCAGATATATTTTGATACTACTGAACATTACTGGGGTTCTAGAGTCAATCACCAAGAAGGTGATATCGATAAAAGTTCAGGCATATTTTGAAAAATTAGTAGTAGATGGTCACATGCTCAAAATACGACTTTTTTTCCTTAGCTGATTTCCTGTTTTCCAGGGATGAAGCTTTCCTAATTCTTTAACAAACAGTTCCACCACGATTTACCCACAAAGGTGAGATATGCCAGATATGTACGACTCGAGTCTGAAAACCCCTGTTTTAATTGCCGTTTTCCCTCTGCATACAGTAGCATCACTATTTTTGTTATTTGTCGATGAGGCCATTTCTTGTATGTCAGGTTAAGAAGCTGATAACCAATGTAACAGTTTGCTTTTAAAGCACTGAAGGAGGAGCAGCATTCAGCAGGAGCTCTTTTACCAAATGTAGAAATATTAGAAAACAGCAAGACTCGTATCTCTCATCTGTGCCTGGGTTTCTAAGTTTAAGTTCTTTTAACCGCTGTGTCTGGAGCCATAAAAATAATCCATCTGAACCAAATTTAAAGCTTATTTTCAAAAGAATATGAAATTTAAGGAGAAGTTCTAGTGCTGCAAAGGAAAGTGGCATCAGCTGGAAAGTCCCATTACAATGTTTTATGATTATAATTTTTGTTTTAATAAAAGATATTAATTTACAATTGGATCTGAAAGCAAACGAGGGGCAAGTGAACGTGACTGAAGATGAGGTAGTTCTGCATTACTCATACAATGGAAATCTTATTAAGCAAGTAAATGTATAAAATGAAAATATGATGGATTCAAAAGGACAGAAGCACCACCAGTCTCAGATGCCCTCCACAGTTTATCTTTCAAACTGTATAAAAATACACAAGCAAGAGGACAATTAAGCTCCAGAGGAAAAAGACGAGTCAGACAGATACAGACTAAGGATGGACCCTTAATTTCCTGGCCTGTGGAGAACAATACACTCTTTAAAAAAGATTCATGCAGAAACAATAGAGCTGAAAACGTAGCACTCGGCAAATGCAGACTTCTTGAATACCAAAAGATGTTCAAATAAGAATTTATTGAGAAGAGATGGAGAAGGCACAAGGGAAAAATATCACAGTAGTTGGCCAGGAAATGATTTCAAAATATATGCAGAAGGCTACAGGAGCTGACCCACTTTATTTGTGGAGAATAAAAATCCTTTTATAAGAAGAAATACAGGCCTTTCCAGGCTGTCAGTGAAACTGCAAATGAAATAAACACATTAGGAATAAGATGCTCAGGGCAACTTATTGTTTAAAGACTAATATGGTAATTATTCTTGAAGGACAGAAGAGCTGAAACAAAGCATATGTTTTCTTCATCAATCTTCAAAATACAGGTTTTTTTATTATTCTCACCTGTGTTTACAAAGAAGCAGATTCAGCTGGGGAAAAAATCAGACTCGCAATCAAATGTAGAAACAGCAAAAACTTCTGCCACCTAATTAGATTCTGCTCTTAGTAGCTCTTCCTAGATACGTTTTGTGCATGACTACATCCTCAGCTATATGGCAATTCAGAAATAATATGGTAAATATTTACAATATTGTAAGCTACAAAGAATAAACTAGAAGCACTCCAAACACTCAGTGCAATGAAAGTGCAGTTTCTGCCAAAATTCCTGTCTAAGTGTTTTCTGAGTTTGCGATTTATGTGCTCTGAATACTGCATTAACTAGACTTCTTCTTGCAATTACTTTCCTATGCCATTAAAAAGAAAGTGGCAAGGCTTTAAAATGTTCACAGTGAAATTGCACAGGGTCTTTACAGCTGAAGAGTCCCTCATAAGAAAGAGCTGGGGAAGGAATGAATTCTTACCTCTGTTTCTGATATTGTTTATCTGGAGGTAAGTACTAAATAAAGAGGATGACAGCTGATCTGATATAGAATATAATCTTCTCACCTTCCAAGGCTGTACTAAGGATTTTAACAAATCTTATCAAAGCTCCTGTTTAGGGAAGAAACTAGTAACTTGAAGAATAGGAGAAGAAAATCTCCACACAGCCTTCTTTTGGGAAGCGTCATTCTAAAGAAGGGATCTCCTGAGCGTGCCCTGCCTTCACTGAAGGGAGCCCCAGCCCAGGCTAATATCAAAGCTGCCAACACATCTTGTTATCTTCTGTTGATCCTTCCCTAAGAAGGGAAGTAGATTAAAGGGCTGACACCTTTCTAAGAACAAAGATCTGTAAATGCAGTGTTACAGTACTGGTTCAACTAAATCCAGCCAAAAGAGATTCAGTTTTCACACCTTCAGAGCCATAGGTGGTGGACACAGATGGAGACGGAGCCACAGCTTACCACAGTAGTGTGGAGATCCTTTAACCCACCTCTCTTCTGGTGGATTAATCCTCAAAACAGGATCAATTAACCACACCTGTATCATACAGGACAAATGAAAGCTTGGATAAGCCATTTTACCTACAGGTACGTGGCAGAACCAGAGGCGCTAAACTGCCTTTCAGTTGTGTTACTTCCCATGTGATGAACCTCACACTTCCCACAAGTCCTCTATGTATTAGTTGACTTGAAGGCACTAAAAAAGTTCCAGTGTACAAAGCAGAATTCTTCACTGCTTGAAATTAATAAGCTGCTGATTTGATTGCAGCTTAGACTGGGAATTTTTTCAGTCTCGTTTGCCAGCAAAAGCTGAGTCATGTATCAGCTTGCATTACGTTATGTTCAGGTTATCCAGGTTATCTTTTAAAGCAAAACCATATTCATTTCAGTTTAAAGAAAGGGTGTTTTTTTTAAGTTGAGATACGTTGCTTAAAAACAATTTAATTTATAGCCACAAAACCCACTTCTAAAATGAAAAAATCATGCTCACATGCAGTTTTGTTTCTAATTAGTTAATTAAACAAAGCAGGCTGGTTACCAGGCCCTACTGCCTGTTAAACTATTTATGAAATCCCAGTCTGCATTTTACAAAGTAATTGACTGCATGATCAAAGCAGCTTTGTGAGGCAATGATCTTGTTTTCACTGCATTGGCTCACTTGCAAAAAAAAAAAAAAAAAAAAGGGATTAA